CTTTCCCATTTGATTTTTTTTTTCGGGTTTAGGAAGAGGAAGCTGCTGTGAAGCAATTATCGGAGAAGGATCTTTTGGAAAGGCATGTCGGCCGAGCTAAGAAGGTCCGTGCCCGGTAAGTTGCACAACAACAGTTTCCTCCATACGCTCTCTTCATTCACCCGAACACAACCCTCCCATTTGATTTTGATCTCTCAATCATTCTCTTCTGTTTGCGTGTGAACTACATTTATATATAGCCTTTTATCTTATTACAGCATCCCAAAGTTTTTTTTTGGAGTAGAATATAAACCTCTTACTTTATCATTGGTACCATTTGCTGAAGATGGTTTTTTTTTTCTCTCTGTTGTGTGTGTTTTCAGATTAAGAGAAGAACGGACAAGGAGAATCGCGGGGTACAAAGCAAGAGTGGCTCTTCTTCTTCCACCTGCCGGAGATCAATGCAACAACGATTGGGAGGGAATTCTTTGCAGCTCTTCTTAGTATATCACTCATCGTACAGAGTTATATGTGTGTCACTTGTAGGTTACAAATAGTAATAAAACACGTTTTCTCTCTCTCTCTTGAATATAACAAACCCAGATTCTGTGAAATATTGAGATCAATCGATTTTCCTCGTTGCCTAAAGGTCGAATGAAGTCAAAATTATGAAAAAACATTTATCTTTTACTTATTTTAATTAGAAATTAGAAAAAAGAAAAAAAGGAAAGAAACATAGTGAACCGCAGATCAAACAGAACAACAATCAAAATCTTAACAAAAATGTACACGCAAATTTTAAAATATGGAGTGGAAAAAGGGACTTGGTTGTATGGATATTTGATGCGTTTTACAAGGAGGGGGCTTTGGAGCGGAGTTTATTGGCAACGTACAAGAGATGGGGAATGTTGGTAGTGGGATAGTGCTGGAGGAGCTTCAGATTGGACGTGAAATCCCCAGCGATGAGCCTCCTCCTCACCAGAATCAACATTCCACAACATATCCTCAACAGCGTCTCCTGCCATCAAAGCATCATGATGATGATGTATGACCCATCAAAGCTAAACACTCACGCTTTATCAGACCACTTCTTTTTCAGAACCCTCCGAGTTCAGTTTCGTAACCGGCCATCTAAGTACATGGTTCTGAAGCTGAGCCACTTTCTATGTATGCAATGCCCATTTTGAGATGGTCCACAGATTAAGTGATGACAGAGCAGCAATCTCTCAGCTTTTGAAAACGAGAATTGCAAGAACATATAATCTTAAGCCTAGCGTTTCTTTTTTAAGATATTCCCTATTCTCTTTCAGGTTGTAAACATGGAAGGAAGAAGAGATTGTAGGGCTCTAACCTGAGGACCTTCGGGATCACTTAAGAGCGCATCCCATATATGTAGACTGTCAAAGAAACTGAATTCTTGCGTTAGGAGGAGTGTGATCCACCTGAATGCATAAAACTGAGGATTCACCTGCATCCAATCAAAATTTTATAATGTCAACTTTCATCATTTCATTTTTGGAAGAGAGAAAAAAAAACTGGCAGAATGGGCTTTTTCACACGGTTAGCTTGATGTGATATTAAAATTGTTATTCTACAAACTATAGAAGCAGAATTGCAAATTGAGATTTTGTTTGATGCTTGCCCTTGCATCATGACATACAGAGAATAAGGAGACCGAAAACTAACAAGGGAAGATCAAATTTGACAACAGATTACTTATGAAGAATCTCTTACTTTTGTTGTGATCTCTAGATGACGCCAAAGCTCCTCATCATGCTCCTTCAACAGCTGTGACAACCTTGTGATTGTGGAACGGATTCCGACAACACTATTGTCAAGTTGTTGACAGTAAAAATCTCGAAATCCACTCAAGAGTTCTACAAAGCAAAAGAATGTATCTGCTTCTGCATGGGCCTGCAAAGCTTGACTAGAATTAATAACAAGCTTAAACTCTTGATAAGGAAAAGAAAAAAACAAGGTTGAAGAACACAGATCACGCAAGAACCAGTCTTCCACAAAGGTCGGTAAATCTTTCGAATGCTAACTTATTGGGCATGAAGAGCAACATTTTTTTGTTATCTGTGTGAACCTCTATATTCCAGTATATACAGTAAAAGAACTTGGTATGGTTTCACTAAAAGATACTCGACAGCAGTGCTAACATGAGGTGGTAATATATGAAATCCTTAAGGTCCAGAATGGTAGTAATATCTCGACCATATATGCCTCGTCATGTAAAAAACCTAGAATGTGTAGATTAAAAAGAAACAAAATGAATCTCCTTACTGCAACATCTTTGTCGGGGTCATTACAGAAAACATAGAAAATAGGTGCCAAAATTTCGTTCATCCCTTGAACGTATCTGATGCCTGGATTTAACTTTGCAAACACCATCAATATTTTCTTCATGGATTCCTACAAATGTGGCAAACACATCAGTAAATGCGACTATTCAAATGTATATCGACTAGACAAGTTCATGGAGCGAAAAACAAAAACCTGATTAGATCGCCCCAATGACGAGTCACTGGAGAAAAAAGGCATGTCTGGATGTGTGCGCTTGACATCGCGATCAATTTGTTCTATAATCTCAGTGTCCTACAGAAATGCAAGAAATCATGTTGGAACTTTTGGAGGAATTGCACATGCTAAAACTTTTGAGTGCTTACAGATTTAAGAAAGATCCTTCTAAAAGATCAGTAAAATCCAGGTAGTGTCAACATCCCAAGACTGTCTTTGTACCCACGTACAGAACCAGATACTCAGCATGGTTTCATCAGATTCATGAAACCTAAAAAACCAAAACCTTTGCCTACCAAGCCATTTAGTAGGAAAAAGAAAATCATCCATCGTGTATTATGTATTTCAGGAAAACTGCATCATGTGCATTTGTTGTTCTGTCCAAGTATGCAAGATATCATACCTGGAAGTACTTATTCCAGATGCTCGTCTGGCCAAGGCTTAAAGGATGATCCTCATCAGTTATCACTGATCTGGGAAGTATGCATCTGCTCTCACTCTTCAACTCATCATTGTCACAGCCCTTAGACTTTGCCAATCTCTGCGCGATTTCTGACTAACTACCACAGAATCATTCAGGAGTCCAATACACATGAAGAAAAGATAAAAATGTAGAGTAATTTATGAGAGATCAGAAAGTTCAAAGATAAACACAGAAACAAGTATATATTCCACTTGTCAGATTCAATAACTGCAGATGATTGAATCAGCTAATAACAAATCAGGAAAGGAAAATCCATCACGGGCAAAGACACAAAATATCATCGTCACTCACAGGACTCATTAGAAGCTCCTCTTTGTAGTGTTTGTATTGCAACCTCTTCTTAGCCAATTCAGACGGCCAAAGGGAACGATCAGGCGGAAGGTAACCAAGCAAAAGCTGCCAGAGAAAATCAAACCAGCCCAAGTAAAAATTAACCAAACTCCATCATTCAGTTGTATTTCTCATGAGCTACATGAAAAGTAGGCGAACGAGGCTGACACTTCCTCTCACACAGTCACACTACAATTTCTAGACATGGTTTCAGCACAAAAAGAAGAAGTTCTCAGCTTCTAAACAATATCCAAAGCACTACAAACAAAGCGAGCGGATCTCTTATTTATCAGTTTACTGACACAAGGATTCTCATTTTGATCTAATCTAATTCATTTTCGCCAATACAAAAAAAAAGGAATGAAAAATCATGAAACCCAGAATAATACCCACCTTCCAGACAGTAGAGCGAATCCCAGGAGCATCTGGTAGACCTTGTAATGCCATACTCCTAATTTCTTTCAAGTTGGTTACCTTCTTCGATAACTGCGAACACCAAACCCAAGCAACAGGAAGAAACAATCAGAAAAGCCAGCTAATGGAACAAAAAACACTGTCAAGTTATGGACTAAGAGAATGAAGCTGGAACAAAAAATTGGAAATTTTTCTAAGAAGATGGTATAGACCTCCGACGCGAGCTGAGCCTGGCGGGAAATCTCCTCGGCGGAAGGTCTAACAGAGACGCCATTGTCCTCACCACCGTCGGAAACAGCGGTGCCGTTTCGCGGGTATCTAGGCGACGGAGAAGGAGACGGAGACACCGGAGGAGGAGAAGGATCATGCCTGGAGGCGACGGAGGTAAGTGGGGGCTCCGCCTTGGTCGGTGAGATGATGGTGGCGGAGGAATGGCGGAAGAGGCGGTCGTCGTTCGGAGGCGTAGTAGACCACATGGCGCTGTTCAGCCATTCCGGGACCTTCTTCTTCACCATTTTCTAGGGTTTCTTGGATCGGTCGATCAAATCCGAAGAGTCCGACTCCGAAGTTTCGAGAAGTCGCGCAGAGAGAGAGAGAGACCGCTCTGTTACGGAAGTTCGTTTCTTCCCCTTTTTCACGGAGAGAGAGAGAGGCATCACGGTGAATGAATGACGGGGACACCAATTTTCAGAATAGCCCCAAAATTATAGCATATTTCAACATTATCCAAAATATTTATCTTCTAATCAGATTGAGTCATTTTGTTTTATCAAATTCAGAAAATTTTGGGCTCAAGTCAAATCTTTCATCCAAATAACGAAGCTTTCCATGGGAATCGGATTCATGAAAGATTTAGATTGAGAAGACTCCATAGCTGATAAATTTTTGCCATGAGAAAGAACCTGACTTGGTAAAGGATTCTATGAGGTGAATCATCATCTCCACGCCAAAATACAGAAACCCCTGTAAAGGCAGATGAAAACCAAACATTTTTTTGCTTAGAAATACATTTCTTGTGGCACAAGTAAACTAGCTCCAACTCTTCTTCTTCTTCTTCTTCTTCTTCTTCCATGGTGGCATTAAGTTCAGCCGTTGTTACTTCTCTCTCAGGAGGCCTCATTTGCAGTGGTTTGGCTTTGATGATGAGCTTCTCCCTGTATTCCGGAGCCTGAGGAACTGTGTTTTCCGGATTCTGATACAGGACTCCTCTGAGTTTCTCCGACCCGATTGGGACAGTGACAAGATAACCACTCTCGAATTTCCCATCAATGACTCCAATCACAGAGGAACCTGTTGATAATCGACTCAAAGATTCAACTGAAGAAGACACAGAACAGTTTCGGGTACTTGCTAAAGGTAGGAGTTGTAATTACGGTTTATGTATTCATGGAATTAAGGTTTCAAAAGAAACCAACAGAACCGACTGAATATGCTGCAACAGAAGAAGAAGAAGTGACAGTACTAAGGAAAAGAAACCATTGCGGCAACAACCAGACACTTGCCGATCTAAGGAAAAGTGACGAAGTGTAATATCTTGAAGAACGACATGCCTCTCCCGAAGACTCTTCGAAAAACAGATCTTCTTCTTAAAGGTTAACGGTTTTAGAGTGCATACCGGAAAAAATCAGGGTTTTTCGTAATTGTGATCAACCATCGCAACTGTGCAAATTGTTTTTCTTTTTTGAAGACAGAGAAGCACTTATTGGAGAGGATTTCCATGAAAAACATTCATTGTTTTACACACAAAGATCGGCAGGAAAACTGCAAGGAAGATGATGCGGTGACTAAGAAGCTGAATAAGATTTCATTGTCAAAGAAGAGAAGTAATAAAGACTATGAAGAATAGTCGTCATGACCTTGAATTGTTCCCCTTCATCTCCTTATCCCAGACACAATCAAGAGAATTGTGCGCAGAAAGCAGACGCTCACTTAAGATTCCGCTGGAGATGTGTTTGGATCGAGGGAAAGTGCGAGAAAATGAAGGAAAACTTCAGAGAAGAAGAAGAAGGAGACCACACACGTGCTTGTACACAGAGATACACGAGTAATACATTTTCTGTTGAGTTTGTTAAACCTTTTATCTTGTACGCTCTTTCCCCCGTGGGAAATGCGTGTCGTTTACAAATTTTCTAAGGAGATTTTCTGCTTGATAGATTGAAATGCGTGTCGTTTTTTATTTATTCTACAATTATATAAAGATTTACTTTTCTGTGTAAAATGAATAATATACCAAAGAGGCAGATTCGGGCTCTTCCTCAGAAGCTCTTCCCTTTTTCCTTGCTCGCAGTGTTTGTTTCCATCTCCCTCCGTTTGTGTGAATCCAGATCTGTAGCTCCGTGCACAAGAAATATCACTGATCGGTCGATTGCTCGATCGATCAATCAATCTAATCTGATTTCGGCGTTAGGGTTTTCATCGCCGTTCTAGGGAAGAAAATGGCGAACCAATCGTTGATCTACAGTTTCGTCGCCCGCGGAACGGTGATCCTCGCCGAATACACGGAGTTCAAAGGCAATTTCACATCCATCGCTGCTCAGTGTCTTAGTAAGCTTCCGTCATCGAACAATAAGTTCACCTACAACTGCGACGGTCACACCTTCAATTACCTCGTCGAAAATGGCTTCAGTGAGTCTTCCTCTCTCGATCTGTACTAGGTTTGTTGTATGTATTAACTCGCGTGATTTATGTATGAGTTCCTTCGGCTTGCTTCTATCAATTTGTATGTATCTCAGTTCCTCTATACTCATTACAACTTCCACGGACGTGCCTGCAAGATCGTGTCTAGATATGCGGGTCTAGGAATATTCGGACGTTTCTTACAGATTGCCTAAATTAAGTTTTTGGGTTTATCCATATGTGCATGTCTGAGTAAATATATCCTAATAATTGTCATATACCTTACTCGGTTGAATGTAATCTGTGATATACTTGTGTTAGATATGGAAAAAAAAGCTGAAATCTGGACCTGGATCTGTGTTCTTACCTGGTTGCTTTATAATGTTCATTAAAAGTTTCCCATTTCAAGGGTTTTAGCTGGGTTGATTATCTTATTGTTGTGAGGGGGGGTCAAAAACTTTGAGATGCTTTGCTCGATCAATTAATTGCATTTGGGTTTTTTCTTCTGCTTTGCCTACTAAATTCCTGATCGGATTGCGGGGCTGTTTTGCTGGGGAATTTGTAATAGCCAATTGACTGCTGCCCTATAACCCATACCTCCTCGTTATGCTGGAAAGTCTTCTGCTTTTATTGGTCGATGCAGTGGTAAGCAATACTGATCTTGTTCTTCTGCGGCAGCCTATTGTGTCGTTGCAGTTGACTCTGTTGGGAGGCAGATTCCAATGGCCTTCTTGGAACGAGTTAAGGAGGATTTTAACAAGAGATATGGAGGAGGGAAGGCTGCAACTGCTCAAGCAAACAGCTTGAATAAAGAGTTTGGGTAATTCTTTGATCTCTTCAATTGCTATTGGGAATTCTCTCTTCTATATTCCTGAATTAGTTATTTGACACGGTTTGCTTGTTTCAAAGCTCTAAACTGAAAGAGCATATGCAATATTGCATGGATCATCCTGAAGAGATTAGCAAGCTTGGTAAGGTGAAGGCTCAAGTTTCTGAAGTTAAGGGTGTAATGATGGAAAACATTGAGAAGGTTAGAAAGATCATTCCTTTTGTCGATATGTAATCTGCCCGTCTGTATTTGTATCTGCCAGAATGTTTGGTTAGTAAGACCAAGTTAACTTACTATTCTTAGCATCTTCTCTAGAGGGAATTGTCCATTTTAATCTGTTCTGTTGCTAATGTGCGTCCATGTTATGGAATTCACTCATATGCAGGTTCTTGATCGTGGCGAGAAAATCGAGCTTTTAGTGGACAAAACCGAAAACCTTCGTTCACAGGTTTAGTGTCTTTACGTAAATACTGCCCAGTGATATTTGCATATATGTTCATACACATACAGATCTCTAAATACACTTGAAGTTTGCAGCTTTCTCAGTTTTTTGTATCCAGTGTTGAAAAAAAAATATGAAATTGATACAGGCGCAAGACTTCAGGACACAAGGAACAAAGATGAGGAGAAAGATGTGGCTTCAGAACATGAAGATAAAACTCATAGTCCTTGGCATCATCATCGCCTTGATCCTCATCATCGTCCTGTCAGTCTGCCATGGCTTCAAGTGTACTTAATCCCGATCTTCTCATGTTTCAGCTAGAATGCATGTCTTGAATTGGTTTTGTATAGGTCATATATATATATATACACATATGTGTGTGTGTGTATACATTACATGAATATATGTATGTACAACACTTGCTATATTGCCAGAACCCAACTATTGGTTGAGAACTTTTGAGTGCTTTCAAAGACTCGCTCTGCGTTGGTGTGATGATAGTGAGTGTGTGTAAGGGGTAAAACTATTAGAATGGGTTTGGTTTCTTGCTGAAGAAGCAAGAACCCTATATTCACAACCGAGAGTTTAAAAATATTTTTTAAAATAAATATTTTCTTTTGAATTATTTTTATGTGATGAGATTCAGTTTCTGAATCATTTAAAGAAATTGTGTCACATCTGCTCTATTTTAAATGACTGTACTTTGATGTTTAGTTTAATTTCCACAGGTGGATTACATTTTTTTTTTGTTCAATGTTCACGCTAACAATAACAATCATGTTTGTGCTAATTAATTATAATCGAAATAATTAATTTATCATCATACTTTTTAAAAAAAATAATAATAAATGAAGCGTTAAAGGGAGAAATCTCTCGCCGCGCAAATCCAGCGTTTTCGTTTTCCTCCTCCGATCGCTGCGTCTTCTCTCTCCCTCTACCGCTGATATTTTCGCTTCCGTACCCACGAAGAAAGAGGCACTAATCTCTCTGATCGAAATGGATCGAATCGGATTCTGGTGTTAGGGTTTTTCATTTCTCGAGATTGCGTGAAAAAAATGGGGCAACAATCGTTGATCTACAGTTTGGTCGCCCGCGGCACGGTGATCCTCGCCGAGTACACCGAGTTCAAGGGCAATTTCACCTCCGTTGCCGCTCAGTGCCTCCAGAAGCTTCCGTCGTCGAACAACAAGTTCACCTACAATTGCGATGGCCACACGTTCAATTACCTCGTTGAAAATGGCTTCAGTAAGTCCTCGTCTCCATCTGCGCACGTTCGGGTTCTAGATTTATGGATTCAATTCTGCACCGATTCGTGTGTTGCCTTTTTATATTTCTCGTTGAAAATGGATGAGGCAAGTTTCCATTTGCTTAGATGTATGTATTAGGATACATGTACAATAAAACGCGTTGCTTTATGGTTTGGTTGTATTCAGCATTTGGTTTATTTGTGACCGAAAATGTGCTCTGGGTGTTGTCCTTCTGTGCATTTCCTGATTGCTTATAGTTGTTTGTGATGTGGACCTCGTTGTTGTTGTATGTTTTGATAATTCTCATTCTGTAAACTTAGGATTATAATGCACATATAGTAGTTTATGACATCTTCTCATGTGGCTGGCTACTTATGTAACAAAGTTTCTGTTTTTTTTTTCTTTCTGTTGTTTGGTGCAGCCTATTGTGTTGTTGCTGTTGAATCTGTTGGGAGGCAGATCCCAATGGCCTTCTTGGAACGAGTCAAGGAAGATTTTAACAAAAGGTATGGCGGGGGGAAAGCTGCAACTGCTCAAGCCAACAGCTTGAACAGAGAGTTTGGGTAATTTTCCCTTCTCTCTCGATTTCGACCTCTACCATCGGTGTTTAAGGATTCTTATTTCCATCTTTGTGAAAGATGATGATGTCTTTAACTTTATCTGTTTACACTGAAGGTCTAAACTGAAGGAGCACATGCAGTAATGCGTGGATCACCCGGAGGAGATCGATAAACTTGCCAAGGTGAAGGCTCAGGTCACAGAAGTTAAGGGTGTTATGATGGAGAACATCGAGAAGGTCAGAAGACAGCCCCTTACCCCAAAGACCAAATGTTTATCCTTCTCTAAAACTGACTGTATTTTTTTTAACATAAATCCATTTGCTTTTGCAGGTCTTAGACCGTGGGGAGAAAATTGAGCTTTTGGTTGATAAAACTGAGAACCTCCGCTCACAAGTTAGTAGTAATCTCCTTTTCCTTTATGTATTGTTTCTGGCCGTGTTGGGTGTACGATCTGTACTGTACATATAGATGTATAATGATTGATGATGTTTGGAAACTCTACAGGCCCAAGATTTCAGGACACAAGGGACAAAGGTGAGGAGAAGTATGTGGCTTCAGAACATGAAGATAAAGCTCATAGTCCTCGGCATCATCATCGCCTTGATCCTCATCATCGTCTTATCCGTTTGCCATGGCTTCAAGTGTACTTAAATAGTTTGGAAATATTATCACTCCCCCCTGGTAAATTTTCACGTCGATTCTTTTTTTTTCCTCCGCTAGATGATTTTGCCCCTTTTTTTTCCCCTCTATTTCTGTTTTTCTTTTGTTACTGTTAGTGTAATTATGCACAAATATCTGGAAACAGATGTACAACTTTTGGCTCCCTTGTAGGTAAGGCTTTGCGTTCATGGTCTGTAAGTCCTGTGTGCAATTTACGAGTCTACATAGAGATCTAAATCCCCATAATGCTTACAAATCAGTAAATCAGCTAAGATTCCTAACAAGATAAAGAGAGAGAGAGATCAACAAGCCAGTTGATCTCTCAAGGGCAAGATCTCCTCGAAAATCGGCAGTCTTCTCGTCCTGTAAGGCCTCCTCCATTCCACGACCACGTTTTCCAGACCGGCAGAAGACGTGAAAACCTCCAGCTCCTTAAACAGGTCCTCGACCCGGGTCTTCAGTCTCAGGTCTGCGGATCCCGAGACGTTCCCCTGTACCACTACGTCGCAGAGGATGGCCCGAGCCTCGGAGTGCTTCCCTTGCTTGATAAGGCAGGTGCATAAGTTGCAGGCCTTGTTCGCATCAGGCTCTATCACCTGAGTTCCGACTCGTGATCCCCGGAGGTCTAATCCTGTAAGTCATGAGGAACACTAAGCTGTGCTAGATGCGGAAGAATTGTTTTGGTCATAGTTATTACTGTTGTTTGTCATTTACAAAAAACTTCCCTACATTTTTCAAATTTCCATATTCCATACTCAATCAACAAACTCAACTCGCAATTGGGTTCGAGAAATCAGGTTCAACCGATCAATGTGAATGTCGGGAAATTGTTACCAGAATCCGAGAGGTCTCCTTCTCGACCGTGACTTGGTATTTCTTTCCATGCGATCTTGCTGTCTTTGTCGGCTTCCCGTTGAAAGCCCCTCCTTGATATATCGTCCAAAGTTTTTGATTCAACAGCTCTATCTGTTCCTCTATTCTCCCACATTTCTGTTAAAAAAAAGATTCGATTTTATCAGCAAGATTCACAGAAAGAACTTATAACCAAGTTTTGAAAAATCAATCATCTTTTAGTTCAAGACAAGAAAGGAGAAAGGTACCTACCTTGTAGAGATCGATGAGGACATTAACAAGGGATTCTTGAGCTTGCTTCGAGCATCGATGTCTGAAAGATTTGATAGCTTCGATTGCTTCATCTGCTCTGTTCTGCTGTTTCATGAGCAATGCCATGTCTTTCAAGGCACTATCCACCCTGTCCCCCTCATTGATCGCCTTCCAAAACAACGCAATTGCTCCTTCTGGATTCTTATCTACCAGCTGCACGTTTTCATCACATCCGCCATATGAAGTTAAACATCACCAAAACCCTTCTCTGTTTACCGAATTTCCGTGTCGGGAATCTCGCCCGATCAAGCTATCTAGAAAAAAAAACTTTTTGTTTTGTATCACCGACAAAACCAGCGGCCCTGTGAAACAACAGGCAGAGACCAGACATTGGAAATCGAATCAGATACCGTTGCGTATCCGATTCGATTCTCAGAACCCGTGTGATCACGAACTTCCAATGAACTCGTACCGTACCTGAACATGTTTGGCTCGGACATAAGGACTGTCTCCGTGCGGAAGCTTATGGATAACGTTGTACGGCACCGGGGAATCTCGTCTCTCTCCTCTCTTCTGATTCATCTCAAAAACCTCTCTCTCTCTCTCTAAAGCAGAGACACTCTCGATTTCTCCTTTGGGAACTGTGCGAAGATATTGTGGCAGATGACAGAAAAAACGCGTTTATATGGAGAGAGAGAGGAGGAAAGACGATGAAGGAGAAGGAACCAAGACGGATTTCCGTCCAGATTCGTTTGCGTGAATTGGATCTGCTAAAACCGCGGGCTTATCGTTTCTGGCCCGTAATACGTAGACACGTGTCGGTCGCTCATTATCTTCAACGACTTGACTTTACTTTTATTTTTTTTCCCCTATAATTAGAGGATAGGTCCATCAGATGTTATCTTACATATGAACTTTCAGTTTGGTTTTTTTATAAACCGAATCAGATGATATGTAGTGTGATTAAATTGAATTTTATATTAGGTTCCAATAGTTATAATATTTTTATCATTTAAAAACCGAACTCGATTTGAACGCGAGTTGAATATAAAATGAATAAAAATAATTGTAAATTGCTTTCTAAAAATAAACATTTTTACTATTAAAAACGTAATCCATACTAAATCGAATCTAATATAAAATCTAAAGAGGAATAGACTTTTTTAAATGGAAAGAATTAAATCCGGATACAACCGAGAGCCAAAATAGAAATGTTCAATCATAATATTAAAAAATGATATTCTAATTTTCATAAAAAAATGATATTCTAATATATTAATATATATTACGGCACTATTATTCATTATAATTTATGAGATTTTAAAGTATTATTGTATATATATACACATAAATATATTTGCCTGTGTTTTGTGTTTGCCTACTGCCTAGATAGAAAGTATGAAGAAAAAAAATACATTTATCTGTTAATGATATTTGGTAGAAGTTAGGATTTAAAGATAATGTTTTTCAAGTTGGTATATCCTATGCATATGATAACTTTAAAAAAATCTAAAATTTTCAAATGGATTTTTTTTTATCTAAAAATGTACATATATACTAACTATTTTTCAGATATATATATATATATACATATAAAGATTAAAAAAATGCACATACCATGGGCGGACGCACTATATTAACGATGGGGTCCTGTGGCCCATTGCTAAAATAAAAAACAAATTATTTTTTTATAAGTTTTATAAAAATTTTCGATAAAGTTGCTAAATATCTTGAGTAAATTGAAATTTATTCCTAAAAAATTGTAATAAATTTATTGTTGCCCCCCAATTGAAATCTTTTTTGGGTCCCCTACTGACACTCATGCCTCATGGATTGGAGTATATGCTAATGGCATGTGGTTGAAAAAAAAAAATCCAAATGGATCATGGCCCATTAGTGCAAATTATGGAATGAGGCCCACTTATACAGGATATCCGGAACCCGACCCGGAAACAATCCGAAGAGCGATCAGAGTATCTCACGAACAGAAAGGGCAAATATTCCTGACGCTCTGCTAATCAAATTCAAAATTCTAGGGTTTCGATGAGAGCGTCGAGACCGAGTCGGCCGCTTAATCGGGTAATTTACTGCTTCTCTATCTATTTGTTGTTTTCCACTCTGAATCATTGCGAGAAATTTTTCTCTGGAAGGGTTGATTTATTTATTTTTTTAGGGGAAAAATTCGTTCTTGTATCCTGAAGTTCTCCGAATTTGGCATTTTATCGGTGTTCATGTCTTGGTAATCTTTTTAGTGATTATGTCTTGTGGCTATATGCTTGAGATTGTGGGTTTGCTTTCTTTGTGATGCTCGTTTAAAGTATCATCTTTCCCCTAAATCTTGCTTGATGTTTTCAAATTTCAGCTTTTTTTATATGTGGTTTTATCTTCATTTTCATCCTGTTACCAGAAAAATTAAATTCATTGGAGGTTACCGGAAACTATATCTACATATACACGTTTGTATCTGCATACATATTTGATCAGGAGGGAGAATGATTTATCTTTTTGTCTGTGTATCTATTGCTATGTACACATGTACATACACTGTTACATTGGTGCTACTACATATTCTCTTGAATGTAGTCGTTCTTCATAAATGGCCATCCTTTGAATTCTTTCTGTTCCTGTTTCATGTTCTATGCATCACTGTTATTAATCCTTCAAGGAGCAGTAGACTTAGTTATTATCTGTAAAAGAGGCTTAAAAAATTTAATAATCTCTTCAATGTGTTCAATTTTATTTTTTGCAATTTATTCACTTTGGAACAGTTTAATTCTTGTTGATCCTATCTCAGATTTTTGTGTCTCATCTTTAACAAATGCATTCACATCTATTCGGATACGTAAACATGTATGAACACAAGTTTAACTGTTTATTTGAGAAGACGCGATGCTAATATTTGAAAAGATAGCATAATTGGTGTTGTCTTGTTTTCGGTTTTGTAGGTCAATGGTTACATGATGGAAAACATGGACATTGACATGGTTATCGATATACCTGATACTCCTGACAGAGTATCACGACGTGGTTCTTTAAGCAGGGAGGACAATAGAAGAGAGAATGCTGCAGCAGCAGTGGATCGCCCAAGAGAAATTCATTCTATCGATAAAGATTATCGAAATTACCTTAATGGTATGGGTAGGATGGTTCCTGGAATTGGGAAGAACCCAAAACATCATTCAGAATCCCAGAAATATCGTGACACACAAACTGATAACAGAAATGGTACACATTCTTCACAAAACACCTCCCTGTTTAGGAGGACAACAATGGGGAAGGATAAAGGGAAATCTGTCTGTACCAATTTTCGTGCGACTTCATCAGCATCCATGCAGAAGAATCCGGTTTTAAATCTAAATCAACGTAAAGGACGTGCCCATGTTGTTGAAATGGCTGCACCAAAACGTTTACAATCTGAAGGTATCCCAACCAGTAGCGGTTTTCCTGAACAAGGCCCCCAGAATTCTTTTAAGGCGGTTGGTATGAACAATAAAGGGAAAGAAAAGATAGACTTTTCAAGTGATCCTCAGGATAAAAAGGAGGATTATGCTGTTTCATCTACTCGGTCTATCATAAGTGCCTTTGGGCATAGAAGACTGGTAAGAAACGGCTGCATATCTCCACATGCTATAACAACTAAAGCTAAACAAGCTGTTGAACAGCTGACCAGTCCCAATGGTGACATTAGTGATCAAAATGGTGGAGAGAAAACGGCTTCTGGTGATCTATCATCAATTGACATTAGAGAGATTGTTGCTGAAGATGATATTCGTAGCAGAGCTAAAGGGAAAAGAGTGATTGGTCACAGCCAAACATCGAAAGATGATGGTGCAAAGTTTGTGGATTTACCAACCAGGTGGTTTGTTTGTTGCCATCTTTAATTAGCTTTTTGAGTGGTTTCTCATAAGATTGTTGCTTTTTGTACTGAAAACGATACTTCTACTGATATTTGACAGTATCAATGGAGAGAGCATGGGGAGTAGGTCTCAGAACCGGTTAAAGGCAATGGGTTCTTCTCATCCCAGTGTTAGACATAATATTGACCGACATCATGAAACCGGCAGGAGGGGTGAGAATGACTCGCGGGGAAATTTGAAGTCTGTCTCTAGGGTTGAAGAACACGAAATCTGTGCGCTTGACCGGGAAGCCAATAAACGGTTACGGAGGAATGGATCTACTTCGGCAGTTTTCGATGAGCATGGGGTTTCAATTGTTGGAACTTCTAGGGAAGCTTCCAGATCAAGGCCAGCAAGAATCAAGAACCATCAGAGGAGAGACATGCAAAATCCGGTTTTAGAAGTCGATGAATCTTCTCCTGAAGTACGGGTCAGTTGCTGTCAGGGTACTAGACGTGTTGAAAATGATGAATCGAATGTAAGGGCAAGACAGATCGAAGCAGATGAGAGATTGGCACGTGAACTCCAAGAACAGCTGTACCAGGAAGCCCAAGTCTTTGGAGATGAAGAGGTGCTTTGTTTACTCTGGTTTTCCTCCATCCTCAATGTGTTGCAGCCTCTACTTCTGATGGTTTCTAATGATCTTTTTTTTTTATGTTCTATATAACAGATTAATGAAAACATAGCATGGATGCTGCAAGAGCAGGAGAATACAGTTCGTGCTTTTCCGACTCGTGATCCCCGGAGGTCTAATCCTGTAAGTCATGAGGAACACTAAGCTGTGCTAGATGCGGAAGAATTGTTTTGGTCATAGTTATTACTGTTGTTTGTCATTTACAAAAAACTGAAAGAAATTCACCCTCTCTCTGAGATATTGAAGATAGAGGCACTGTGTAGTGTGTTTGATTCTCAGTGAGGCTAATTATATTCTTAAAGATGAATGTGTCGGTCCATAAATTTGAGTCTGTATGCTTAAAAGACTTTTACTTTAGGATCATCTTGAGTATTATTTGAGAGATTATCGGTTCCTACTGCAGGCTTCTTCAGTGGCACATGGGAGAAGTCGATTAAGGACAAGATTTCAGCAGAGTTCTTCGAGCAGGGGACGTAATATCCCGCAGCCTCGCGCTTCTGGCAGGGCGACAAGAGCAAGGGGTCACCGTTTAGGCTCTTCACCTGCTGCATTGTCTCGAGCTCTTAATTTCCGGTTCCCAAGTGAAATGGCCCTAGAATCGGTATTTCCTCCATTTCTTCTTTACCTTGAAGCAGATTGATTGTGACCCAAATGCTAAAAGTTAAGCCTTTTCACTCACTCGCTCACTCACTGTGCAGAGATTGGATATCTTGGAGGAACTAGAGACTGTTATTGGTCAATTCGGCAGCTCCATGAACAGTGGCCTGCTTCAGCACGATCGTGATTTCAATGAGTCCGGCTCTTTCTTTTTCCTTTTTTTTTTCTCATGCCTAATGTTCTTCATTTCCTGTCCCATTCTTGCACTCCTTCACCTTGGTCTTTTATATTGCTGAAACATCATCAACATTTACCTGTCGTCTTTAAACGCAGAGATGATTATGAACTCCTGTTAGGCCTCGATGAGGACAACCATAGAGACCGACGTGCTGGTACTTCTGCCAGTCAGATTAACAGCTTGCCACAGTCGACAGTACAAGTAAGTCTTCCGCGTTTTTCCACTCGTCAAATCTGCTTTTTTGATCGATTTGATCTTACTCGTCGGTGATTTTATTTAGAACGATAACTTTGAAGAGACTTGTGTTATCTGTCTTGACACCCCGAAGACTGGAGATGTCATACGCCATCTCCCTTGCTTGCACAAGTTCCACAAAGATGTAAGACTGTAGTGGTCTCTTCCCTACTCATCTTCTCCTTTTTCGTCTTTTAGTATTTATTTATTAGAAACCTCCAAGAATCTTCTGAAAAACTTTTTCTTTCGATCAAATCCTGTCATTAATTGGAGCAGTGCATCGATCCGTGGCTCGAGAGGAGCAAGTCTTGCCCCGTTTGCAAGTCCTCTGTGACTTGATAGTGTCTGCCATTGCCATTGCCTCTTAGCTTGGAGCCGCAGAAGGGTGAGCCCGCCAGCAAAAAGGCTTTTTTTCTTTCTTGAAGGGCAAGGCTTGTTTGCTCGGTTCCGACCGGATTTGTTGTGAATTACTATTTTACCCCTGCCGCCGGGGATGTTAGCCGGTGTGAATCTCTCTCCTCGGTTTTCAGCCCTTCCTCGTTTAAAGAAGTGAGGTAGCCTTGAAGACTGACGGGTTCATTCCCTCTGCTATGTGGTTCGGTGATTCTATCAAGTATTTTTTTCTATATAAATATCCATTTTTTGTTAATCTCTAAACGGTACTTTTAGTATATAGGAACAACTTGTATTGATTAAGAGCAGCCCACCGTTCAAAGGGTGTGCAAACCGGAAGAACGACGCACGGTGCAGCCGCCTACAGATGAAACGGCGTACATGCCACTCGAAATTATAAAGAAACGACGTACACTCCAAAAGTTTTCTTTCATTAAAAATACAGTACAATGCAATAAGGATTGGTATATATATATATACACACCTTCAAAATATATGGCCCATATGCAGTTTTATATATATTTAATATTACTTTGAATACTGGGTTGGGTTTAGTAAACGGCCCAACTCAATCTCAAGCCCATCATTCATAGGCCCTTTAAAGACCCGCTTACATAGCTTCGGTTCCAAACCAATCAATATATATTCACTTAAAATTTTAAATTAAATAGTTAATTTTAATAAATCACTGTCTGTATATATGCACATACATGTGTATGAAAACAAAAAGGATCGGGTGCAGTTGCAGAGTTCACGAAGAGCTAAGCAGAAGCCATCTGAGAACCGAGAGAGAGGGTGACCCATCACCCACCTTCAACCCTAACTTCCGATTTTCTCACCCCCCAAACAACCATTTCTCCCTCTCGCTCTCTCTCTCCTCTCTCTCTGTGTTTTACTTTTCTTTTTCCCATGAAAAGGGTTGGAAAAAGAGCAAGCAAGCACAAAAGGAAGAGCAAGACGGCGGGGGAAGGCGTCGCTTCGATGGATGTCTCACACTCGTCAATTGGAGTTCTCACTCGAGCTAAATCCCTAGCTCTCCAGAAATCCTCCTCCTCGCTCCCGACTTTTCCTCCGCCATCGCCCCCGTCGCCGCAGCAGCAGCAGCAGCTTGTGGACGGAGGTGGGCCGTTTCTACAGCTTCGGAATCGCCGGCTTCAGAAGAAACCCTCAATTGTTGTGATTCGTTCCGGCAAACGGAGGAAGCTGAGGAAGAAAGCTGCATGCGTCGAATGCCCTAACCCTAATTCCAAAAAATTGGATTCGCCTGTGGGTTCGCTGCGCGGCGGCTCCGGTGGCGATGGGTCTCGGTCGGGTTCATTTGCGGAGAGTGTTGTGTGTGCGAAGGAGAAAGAGATGCTAGTCGATGAAAAGGAAGCCAACAAGGATCTGGGCGTCGACTCTTCGCCTGAAGAAAATATCTTTGAGCTTGAAGGCAGAGAAAGGTAGGGTTTTTTTCTCTCTCTCTCGAATTTTAGAGATTTCCGCTTGTCTTAAGTTTATTTCTCGGGGAAATTGTCTTCAATACAAATGTTTTCACTTTACCCAAAAGTATATAGCATAGTAAATTTTCGCCTTTTCTCGCATTCAACAAAAAAATCTGCCTTTTGAACTTTGTTTGCTTTCTGAGAAAATAAGAGAAAGTGCCAGAAAATTTTGGATTTTTGTTGTTTGGAACTCACTTTTACTGCAAATGGAAAAAGAAAAGGAATGTAAGAAATGGAATTCTTCCAGTGTCATTATTGAAACCTGGGTTTTGAAATATGGCTTTCCTCTGATACTTTCAGCTTTTCTTTCTCTGACACACCCAATTTATATCTCTGTTTCCGGGAAAATATATTAATCAATGAGGTCTCTTCTTTCGCCAACTTTTCTCGAGAGAATTTCAGATTCTTTCTTTTTTCATCCTCTTCGTATGGTGAAATACGTCTTGGTACGTTTCATGCCCCTTTATGTAAAGAATGTCGATTTTGTAAGTGAAATGTCTCCGTAACTCTACGCAGATCTCCTCCTTGCATTAAAAGCTTAAAAGGGCAATGTGTTCATCTTCTAAACACTCGGTTAACTGTTCTGTTGTTTATCTAGAAGTTTAGGATTTAGAGTAAGAATTCCAAGTCTTGAGTTCTTCTTCAATTTGATCTTGTGAAGTATAATATACTACTGGTAATTCTGTGAATTGAAGTTGGGATGTCAATGCTTTACGTAGCTCATTGTTGGAACTTGGAACACGTTTGGAACTTTTTAGTTTTGAGCAATCCTCACTCTTTTTTCTGGCTTTGATTGTTATGAGATTGATTAAAAGTGGGGTCCTTGTTCTATGTTGATTCTTGGGTTTGTAGCCTTTAATCCTGCGTTGGTATTGGTCTTTGGCTGTTGTGGAAGCAGCTTTACTGTAAGCTTGCTCAATCAGTATCACATACCAGAAAATGGCTCGTGCTCTTTGATCTTGTTATGTTAATGGAATCTTTTTGTTTAAATCTGGAAGTTAAAGCTGTTTGCATTTGCTACTGATTAAGGAAAAAGAGAAAAGGGGATGTTTTCTTTTCCCTTGATTGAGAGAGCCTTGTCTAACATGCAAGTTGGCCATTTCTTCTCTGTTCACGACAGGACCACGAGGGAATCTACGCCATGCAGTGTGATGAGGAATCCAGAAACTGTAAGGATCCAAAGTGAAGAGAGTCTGCCAGTGCCAGGTGGTCGTAATCTACCGACAACTCATGAAATGGACGAGTTTTTCTCTGGTGCTGAGGAAGAACAACAAAGACAGTTCATTGAAAAGTATGAACTCTGCCTGTCAAGTTTCCCAGGAACAAAATTCAGGGCCCGTTGTGTTTCATCCATTCTCTGATACATATGCCACGGTATTGCCCATTTCAGGTACAACTTTGATCCGGTGAACGAGAAACCATTGCCAGGACGCTACAAGTGGAAGAGAGTAGACCATTAATAAAAGGTCAATACAGACGCTTATAATATTTCCTGCTAATTATCAGTTGATCAGTGAACAGGAATCATGGTTCAGCTGCAAAGGTTGGTGGTTCCAGTTTCTAGCTTCCGTCATCTGTATAACTTTAACATGCAAAGAAAAGAAGTAGGAAATCTGTGTGTAGAGACAAAACCAATACCAGGCCTTTGTCCAACAGAGCATCATAGACCCATAAGGGAAGGTTACAAAGAACAGGGGTTTAGGGTTTCCAGGTTTAGACAGATCTCTTAGGGCAGTCTTCTTCTTTTTCCAGTACAGGAACTTTACTCTGCATTTCCTCTTGTTCCTTTCTACTGTAGCCTTCTCATCCATCCTTTCGTGTATAGATGTGTACTGATGAAACATCTGAGAGTGAGAAATCTCTCCAATAAAATATTTACCCTCGTCTTTTTTTTTTTTTTTGGATTCTTGAGAATGCAAAGGCAAATGACTGATAATGGAAGGGGGACAAACGGTGATGGTTGTGGATTGGATGGGGATAATGTCTCTTTAGTGCTAACTTTACTTGGTTTTGTTTTTGTTGGTAAATCAAAGTGGAAGATTCTCTGTCTTCGCTCTCAGTGTCCATTGTACTTTCCACTTTGATTTTTTTTTTTCATCTTGTTTGCATTTCAAAGCTCGAGATATCGTTTGTATGTAAAAGAGAGACATTTTGCATTCTATTGCACGTGTCTGTGTGTGTGTGTGTGTACTGATCAAACTTTGACAACTTGCTCTTAATTTCCCTCATGAAGGATGGATTACTAATCGGTTTGGGTATACGTAATGTCTAATTGGATATAGAACCGAATACGTGAATGTACCATACAATTTCTATGAGATTATGACTTGTATTTTCACCGCCCGCCTGAATTCCTTTCGAGATAATACCATTTGGCCCACCATGCAAATAACAAATCTTTTGGCGGTGGTCGAAGAATGTCACAACACTACCTGAACAACAAGTACCGGTGACAAGAACAAGGACAAAAAAGGAGGGGACTTTGCAATGACTTGTCAAGGTAGATTGGGAAATGTAAAAAAAAAAAACTAGCCTGAATTGGTGTAGTAGATTCTGATTCCAACAGCTAAACCGAGGATGGCGAGGGGAACAAGGAACTGAAGGATCTTGATGATGAACTCTGAGGTATTGTCCTGATTGGAGTGAAGCTGTTTAGGAGGAGGAATGTACTTTGTCTTCTTTGGGGTCGTCCCGGGATCAATCTCTCCGATGCAGTCCCGACCCATCATTTCTCTCGCGCTCTCGCTGTGACCCATGTCCTCGAAATCATCCGTTGCATCCTTACCTTTTGGGAAAACAAAATGAACAGAACTCACTATGGCTTAGGAGGAGAAGATTTCTCTGATCTAGATCCATGGTTTATGTGAAACTCTTGTCTGATGATAACAAAGAGATTTTGGGTTTAACGGCGGTAATTGTATGCAGAATGAGTAATAAAGTAATGGGGAATCAAAACCGAACAGGCGGTAGAAAGGTAACTGTGAAATGGGAGAGTAATAAATTAGTTACCTGTTGAAAACAAGAGAACTTCATCCCCACCGGGATGGTCTTCCAAGAACTTGGTAACATCATACACACACCTGCATTCCAAATTTTACAAAGTATGAAGAAACAGTGAAGCGAGGATGATGTAACGATAGGCGATTCAACTCGAATATTGGAAATGGAACTGTCAAAACTTTGAAAATCTTGTTAGACGAGAAATCAGAAAGCATGGGAAGTTTCACAAAGAGACATCTCATTCTCTTTCTCAGCAAACAAACAACTTTTGTTTGATATTAGATTAAAACAATGGAGGAACAGAGAGGAGAGGGGATTCAGATGATTCTTGCAAAAATAACAGAAGCTGCTGTGGGATCATCTCCCGGTCTTTTCGGAATAAATAATTGATGACATGTATATATTAGTGTATTTTTTATATTATATACATTATATTATATGATATTTATACGATCTCTTAGGGCAGTCTTCTTCTTTTTCCAGTACAGGAACTTTACTCTGCATTTCCTCTTGTTCCTTTCTACTGTAGCCTTCTCATCCATCCTTTCGTGTATAGATGTGTACTGATGAAACATCTGAGAGTGAGAAATCTCTCCAATAAAATATTTACCCTCGTCTTTTTTTTTTTTTTTGGATTCTTGAGAATGCAAAGGCAAATGACTGATAATGGAAGGGGGACAAACGGTGATGGTTGTGGATTGGATGGGGATAATGTCTCTTTAGTGCTAACTTTACTTGGTTTTGTTTTTGTTGGTAAATCAAAGTGGAAGATTCTCTGTCTTCGCTCTCAGTGTCCATTGTACTTTCCACTTTGATTTTTTTTTTTCATCTTGTTTGCATTTCAAAGCTCGAGATATCGTTTGTATGTAAAAGAGAGACATTTTGCATTCTATTGCACGTGTCTGTGTGTGTGTGTGTGTACTGATCAAACTTTGACAACTTGCTCTTAATTTCCCTCATGAAGGATGGATTACTAATCGGTTTGGGTATACGTAATGTCTAATTGGATATAGAACCGAATACGTGAATGTACCATACAATTTCTATGAGATTATGACTTGTATTTTCACCGCCCGCCTGAATTCCTTTCGAGATAATACCATTTGGCCCACCATGCAAATAACAAATCTTTTGGCGGTGGTCGAAGAATGTCACAACACTACCTGAACAACAAGTACCGGTGACAAGAACAAGGACAAAAAAGGAGGGGACTTTGCAATGACTTGTCAAGGTAGATTGGGAAATGTAAAAAAAAAAAACTAGCCTGAATTGGTGTAGTAGATTCTGATTCCAACAGCTAAACCGAGGATGGCGAGGGGAACAAGGAACTGAAGGATCTTGATGATGAACTCTGAGGTATTGTCCTGATTGGAGTGAAGCTGTTTAGGAGGAGGAATGTACTTTGTCTTCTTTGGGGTCGTCCCGGGATCAATCTCTCCGATGCAGTCCCGACCCATCATTTCTCTCGCGCTCTCGCTGTGACCCATGTCCTCGAAATCATCCGTTGCATCCTTACCTTTTGGGAAAACAAAATGAACAGAACTCACTATGGCTTAGGAGGAGAAGATTTCTCTGATCTAGATCCATGGTTTATGTGAAACTCTTGTCTGATGATAACAAAGAGATTTTGGGTTTAACGGCGGTAATTGTATGCAGAATGAGTAATAAAGTAATGGGGAATCAAAACCGAACAGGCGGTAGAAAGGTAACTGTGAAATGGGAGAGTAATAAATTAGTTACCTGTTGAAAACAAGAGAACTTCATCCCCACCGGGATGGTCTTCCAAGAACTTGGTAACATCATACACACACCTGCATTCCAAATTTTACAAAGTATGAAGAAACAGTGAAGCGAGGATGATGTAACGATAGGCGATTCAACTCGAATATTGGAAATGGAACTGTCAAAACTTTGAAAATCTTGTTAGACGAGAAATCAGAAAGCATGGGAAGTTTCACAAAGAGACATCTCATTCTCTTTCTCAGCAAACAAACAACTTTTGTTTGATATTAGATTAAAACAATGGAGGAACAGAGAGGAGAGGGGATTCAGATGATTCTTGCAAAAATAACAGAAGCTGCTGTGGGATCATCTCCCGGTCTTTTCGGAATAAATAATTGATGACATGTATATATTAGTGTATTTTTTATATTATATACATTATATTATATGATATTTATACGATTATAGGCTTTATCATGTACAATTTCACTCCGATTTCGATGTTTCTATATTTTGTAGGAAAGAACGGAAAACGAGCTTCACCAAAATACTTTCATGGGAATCAAACGAAAACGTATGATCGCGGAAATCGTTGGGCACAGGAGCGAATGTCTCAGAATAATCTATGCCCCAAACCTTAGCATACCCCTTCAGAACAAGTCTAGCCTTGAACTTGTGAACAGACCCATCTGGATTTAGCTTCGTTCTATAAACCCACTTCACACCTATAACTTTCTTGTTCAGAGGTCTGTCAACTAGAGTCCAAGTGCCTGTTTTCTCGATCATTTTCAGCTCCTCCTCCATTGCATCTACCCATTTCTGATCCTTGACAGCTTCCTCAAAACCTGCTGGTTCCAGAACAGCTACATTACATCTTGCATAGATGTCATTAAGTGATCTAGTTCCTCTCACAGGCTGATGATCAAACTCTCCTTCATCATCGTCTTCTTCTCCGAAGGGTTGGTGAGGTTCATCAAGAACAGGTTGTTCAGGTACAACATCAGTTCGAGATAAATCCTCGTCTGCAATATCTTCAGAGATTCTCTCATGCTGATTAGTCTTGGACCAATCCCAGCTTTCTGTTTCACTAAACTTCACATCTCTACTCACTATCACCTTCTTTTTATCAGGGAGATACACTCTGTAAGCTTTAGAAACAAGACTATAGCCCACAAAGATTCCCATTTCAGCTTTATGATCTAACTTATCTCTCTTTGGATCA